GGGGGGGGGGGGGGAGCCAAGCGGCTGGCTGGCCAAAGACGAAAAGCTCCAGTCTTCCGTTTGTCAATGCGATTCTTCTGCAGTAGTTTCCAGCATACCAAAACTTCTCCAGCATATGCTTCCTTGAACGCCTTGTACCCTTCCCCACATCGGCGTTGCCCCCCTCCCGTGATGCGAAACCCTGCTCCATTCCCCCCCACAGCATACCAAAAATATCTTCAGCTCCTACATCTGGGACACCTTGATGTTACCCCCCCTCTCCCCCTGTAGCCGCCCCGTCCATCAGCCGAGGAAGGGGCCCGTTTTTATCCCCCAGCCTCCTGAACCGGCTTGCTGCCCTCCTTCCCATTTTCACCGGCGGTGCTGGAAGAGTAGTGGGTGAGCTTCCCCTGGATCCGGCCGCCTTCTAACACCTGCAGGCTGTCGTATACCATGTCCCCGGTGACTACGGCCGCCTTGCCGATGAGCAGCGTTTCGGAAGCGATGATGGTCGCCTTCATGTTGCCCCCGATGCACCCTTCCGAGCATCGCACCTCACCCTCCATTTGTCCGCCTGCGTGAGCAGCAGCATGCAGCAAGAACAGCACATACGAACTGAATATTCCCAGACCCCAAGGACGTGCTTCTGGCATAGTGCAGGCCAGCAAAATATACGCAGCGCGGGCACGGAGGACAGCAGTGAGTTGGCGGAGAAAGAGGAATCACAAGAGGAAGGAGATAACACACCCGACGGCTGACGGCTTCGAGCGATGGATACGATGGGAAACCACACGTTTGGGAAATGGTCTGGTAAGGCAAAACTCGATCCGGTTGGTGTGCGGCGGAGAGGCTGTTTCTTCACTCGATCACTCGATCCCGAGAGTGATGCCTACCACCAAGTCGAGAGGCAGACCCCCCCGCGTCCGCTTCAGATCTTTCTCTCCCTCTCTCTCTCGCTCTCTCTCTCATCATATGAGCCATAGGAAGCAAGCCCGTCCAATTCCCTCCAAAAGTATGGACGAAACAACGTTTTTCGAGATTCATCGTTCATCGCCTGGGGCGAAGGGTGTACCGAATAGAAAATAATTTGCACAGTTCATGTTCAACGCCAATCGCGGATACCTTGGGCATCGGGCTCTCTCCTCCCACGGAAAACAAAAAGCTGGGAATCAATTGGGGCCAGGCCCGGTAGTTCGATAGACGTGTCAGGATCGAGTCCAGGAGGTGCTCTCTAGAAGCCGAATCAAACCATTAGATAGACTATTCAGCGGCTTGTGTACTGGAGTAACTCCCAGGACCACCAAGCTGTCCTCTCGGGACTACATTATTGTTCTCATAAATAATTGTCGGTACCTCCCGTTGGCGTTGCTATGGGCACAGAATCTTGTTTACATTGTCTGGGGAGGGAAGAAGCGGTCGGCAGAGTGGCGGCCAGCATGTCAAGGTGACATCGTCGGTAACACGACCAGTGGCATCGTCCAGCGACCTTGACACTTCCTTTCTCGGGCGGTCTACTTGGCGAACTCAGGGCGAGAGAGAGAAAGAGAGAGAGACTGAGAGAGAGAGAGAGAGAGCTAAAGCACCGCCTCCAAAAAAACACACGCGAACGCGCATGTTTGTGCGCACACGGAGCGGAGAAGGCGGATCGCACATGACGTGGTTGCCAAGTACACTGCTTGATGCAGTAACATCGTAGGTGACACAAGATGATACACCCCCGGACTGACTTTCAAAGCTCGAGTACTCCGTGACGAAGAGGATGCCAACATGAAATTACATGTTCGAGGAACGCTCACGACATGGTTCAGGGCATGCGGTATCTTGTTTAATATACGGTAAATAATCCTAACCAGATACGTACGTGTGGTCGAACGCTTAACTTAGGGTGGGTCCTACGTAATTTTTTTGGACTCGAACATCGAACATCGAACAAGCGGTGTAATCATGTGATTGGCCAGGAAGGTCCAACAGCCCAAAGAGATGTTCGGGTTTTCGAGTTTTTGTACGCCGGATCTTCCAGGGGCGATTCCGCCTAAAACTCTAACATCTTTCCACAGAAACTCGAAAACCTATACCTAACCTTCAGTCCCGTGGACTATTGGGACCGAATTGGCGACAAAAAAGAAAACCCGCACGCATGCATCACGCACGTGCACCCAACACACACCACCAAAAAACACAATCTCGGGGAGAGGGAGAACGACAGAGAGGTTTGCAGGACAGCAACAGCAATACCCATGTCTGCACAGAGCGACGACGACTTTGCGCTGGATCCCAGGGCCCCGCGTGCACAAACGGGGCCAGGTGTGAGGTTAATCACACGTGTTTCCTTCCCGTCGCAACCATACAGCATTGCTGGACAGCCAAACAGCTGCAGCAGTGTTGGTGTGAGTCGGCAGGGTCCCGCGGCAATGCATGTGGGCATCAGGCCGCAAGGGATGCCGGGGTTCCACCCCGCGGCTTCGAGCGCTAGCTACTATCAACCGGTGCTGTTTTTGCTGGTGGGGCTGCTTCTTGTGCTCCTCCTCCTGGCGCCGTCCCTGTTCCTCGACACTCGTATCTTTTCGAGAGTCGAGTGCCCTTGGGTTTTCCGGGCGTGGTCCAACAACGCGGGCTGTTGAACGCAAAAACGTGTGTGTGTGGGATTTTTTTTCACGCTTTTTTGCAAATTTCAATGGACCCAAAAAGTCGAACTTCGAACTATCCGCTTGTTCGATGTTCGATGTTCGACTTTTCCAAAAATTACGTAGGACCCACCCTTACGGTTGCCTGTCGCGCGCTGAAAGAAATTGATTTAGTTGCTGCGATTTGAGCGACAATAATATTGTTTGTTGTGGCCCCACCCATGACCCCATGCTTCTGTGTACGGTAGCACAGGCGCATTCTTTTTTTTTGGCGCTATGGATAATAGCGAAGATATCATTCGACGAAAAAAATCAGAATACAATTAGAGCGCGGATCGATGGCGGTGAAAAGAGAGGCACGCGCTCTCAATCTTGATCTTGATCCCCCCGTCTAACGGTTCCGCGCGATGTGATCAAATCTGCGATCAACTCAGCGAAGGAATGTTCTC